AGGAACACCACCTTCGCCACTCGCACTCGCCAGCCCCCACAAGGGTGGACAAATCCTGCCCTCCCAATCCTCCTCGTCCTCCTCGTCCTCTTCCTCCTCCTCCTGCTCATCCGCCTCCACCTACAATGTACAAAGCAAACCCCGTTCCGATTGCACTGCGAACGGTGGATCAAATCCTACAACTGCCATTGGGGGACCACCGTCTTTTGGGACACCCCAGTCGGCGGATATAATAAGATTCAACACAATGGGTCGGGATGGGTGGGAGGCGTCGGATGCCAGGTGTGGCGCGAACGCACCTAGCTTGTCCTCCACCTCCTCCTCCTCCTTCTCCTGCTCCTCCTCCTCCTCCTCCTCCTCCTCCCCCTCTTCCTTATTCTCCTTTTGTTCCTCATTGTCCGCGTCACACCCCGACTTCGGCTGTCCGTTCCGAGAGCGATGAGAGTTGGAACGCGTGCCCGCTCAGTTTACCATTTGTTCATCGATGCCATCTAAGATGGCCCCGAGAGTGCCCCGAAGGCCCCAAGAAAATCCCCCCAAAGTCCCAAAAGCCTCCAACATTTCACACTGGCCCCAAGAACGCTCCAAAACGGCCCCGGGAAGCTTCCAAAACGTTCCCAACTCGAAGAATCTGCGAAGGCATGTATGGTGGACCGCTGATCCTGCTCAAGCCAGTTCAAGGCTTTGGTTTGACGGCCGTCCCCACTTATTGTTCCACGGCATGCTCGTACACCTCCCCTGTGACGTCAACTTGCCTGGAAATCGTTTCTGGATGGGGCTGGTGAAGATACTTTTTCCGTCGCAGCCGCAGGCGAAGGCGCACAGCGGCGTCACAAGTCAGCTCGGGCTACGAGCAAAACTAATTAACCTAGCGCGCGCACAGGCGGCTGCAGAACTACCGCCGAAGGAGGCTGGTGAGGATATTTTTTGTCGCAACCGCAGGCCAAGGCGCCGGCGGCGTCACAAGTCGGCTCGGGCTACGAGCAGAACTAATTGACAGCAGGACTACCGCCGGGGGACGCTGGGCTGCGCCGAGGGCTGAGGCTGCAAAGGCTGCCGGGGGCTGCCAGGTGGCCAAGCAAGCGTGCGGGCATCCCAGGCACGAGACCACCGAGATGGATGAATTGGACCTTGTCGCACCAGGCGCCAGAGGTCGACGCGCCACAGGCGTGGCGAAGCACGGGGCTGCCTAAACAGACCAACGTGCTAGGCTGCAGGCCAACGGGGATGAACACACATGGCCGACCAAGAAGGCTGAACTATTCTTGAATAAACCAGCGGGCCAGAATCCCATCGGACCAGCGGCAACGGCAGACACAGCCAGGCTGTGGCGGTGACTGGAGACCAGAGGCCAGGGAAGTGTAAGCACTCGAGCCAGAACTGGCCAAAGCGCACGTCACCTGAACGCCAGGGTGCCTCGCCCGACTCCGCGGGTGCCACGAGCGCGGGGGACAGAGCGGGGTCGCAGACAGCCGAGGGCCGAGGCAACCTGAGCCCAGGAGCCCGCGACAAGGCGCGTGAGTCGAAGACATCACGAAGAGGGGGCCCAGTGCCAGGGAAACCGAGCCAGGCTGTGGCCACGTCCGAGCAGAAGGCCAGGGTGAGAACCACTACGGCCAGCGGCCGAGGCCGAGAGGTACGCCGCGCCCCGCCCCAGCAGGGGCCAGCGTACCTGGTATTGACGGCGCCTGGGAGCCTGGGGGGCAGAGCCAGGCGCAGTGCCGGGGCCATCGCGGGTCATCGCAAAGGCCAGCAGCTGGGGGGGCTGCAACGAGCTGCGGCCAGGTGCGGAGAAGGCCAGGGTGAACACTTGTTCTTCTTTGCGCGGACGCGGGCGGTGATGCGCTATTCGCAACCCGCTCTCCCATCACTGCTCGACCTCGAAGGCCGGTGGCACTGCTGATTCTGCCACCGCCCGCTTGTAGAGGCTACCCGCGTTCCTTGCGAGGTCATCCAAGACCGTCCGCTGCAGATCTTTGTCGCTCTGATTGGTCACGATGAGATCGTCCTCGCGCAAGGCTGCGCACGCCTCATCAGGTGTCTTCTCGCCCCACGTCTTGTACATCGCCTCAATGTTGGTCGCTTCGGCCTGGTTGGCAACACCCGTGCACAGCAGGTGCGCCCGGCGCTGATCCGCTGGCGTGGACATCAATCCACTCTCCGTGATCGTCATAGGACGTCCCAAAGCGGCCGACCTACTGCAGGTCGAAGAGCACGAGCACCTTGGAGGCCGAGCTTGAAGATGACCTCGTCGTCCTCAGAGCGTGGCTTATTCGGAAACTTCTGGGGGAGATTCCGCCTGCAACTGTTCCTCGGCCGTCGCTGTCTTGGCGGCGAGCCACGCTGCGGCACGGTCCGCTGCCTCGCGTACTATCAGTGATTTGTCGCTCGTCATCTGGTCTACGAGGTCCTTCGCCTTCTCGGGTGGCATCTCCCGGACGAACTCGCATAGCGGACCGCTGGCGGCCGTTGCGAGCACGTCAGGAGCACCGTCGCGCAGCAGCGTCCCGAGCAGGGGCACCGACTTGTTGAACATCTGCCTGAGTGACTCCTCCAGAGGCTTTCCTGTCGCATTCTTGCGGACCCAATGCCAGTCGGCCGCAAACCTCTCAAGAATGACAGAGGCCTCGTCGGGCTTGCTCTTGAAGGCATCGAGCAGAGCAGGTCCTGCCGCCAACGCTTTGCGGACATCATCCGCGGGGTCAGACGCCAGCGCCGTGATGATGGACAAACCTTCATCAGGCTTGTTGCGGACGGCCTGAAATATAGCATGTCCTTCAGCCACCGCCACGCGGACCTCCTTGTCGAAGTCCCCCGCCAGCTTCGCAAGCACGGGCAGGCCCATGTCGGCATTGTTCCCGACGGCGAGTGTCAGACCCCGTCCTTCAGCCACTGCTGTGCGGCCCTCCTGCTCGACGTCCTCCGCCAGCTTGGCGAGCGCGCGGATGCCCTCGTCGGGCTTCTTGCGGACGGCGTTCACCAGAGCAGGCCCACCCGCCGCAACCGCGCGGACCCTCTTCTCGGAGTCCTCCGCCAGCCTCGCGAGCCCGGGCAGGCCCTCGTCGGGATCGTCCACGGCGGCGAGAAATTCAGAACCTCTCCTGCAAGCCACGGCCGCGCGCACCTCCTCCTCCTCCTCCTCCTCCTCCTCCTCCTCCTCCTCCTCCTCCTCCTATACCTCTTCTTCCTTTACCTCCTCCTCCTCCCTCGCGCCTACTACTCGTTCTCTTCAGCACGACCAGAAGCTGGTCGGTTGGGATACTCCTCAATGTCGCATGGGTAATTCCTTTCATGAACTTCGCGCGCGCGTCCTTGTTTTTGTCGCCCGCTTCCTCCGCCCAGCCAGGCATCCCTTTCGGGTCACAAGGCGCCTTCTCCTCTGTCGCCACGTTGAAAACGTTCGACGCCGCCACCTTGAGCGAGGGGACGTTCACCGCGGAGTCGGCCAACAACGCCTTCTCCTAGCCAATCTGAATGTCCGCACGGCCGCGAAAGGTCTGCGAAGTGCCTGGTTGTAGAAGCAGCATGGCCAGCACCAGGAGCCAGAAGGCCCGCCCCCAGGGCAGCGCACTTCCCCCCCAAATCGGGCAGCTCGATCTCGTAAACGTGCGTGGCGATCTTCATGCTGAGATTGGCGATGCTGGCTGGGATAGACGTGGATGTTTCAGGGACCTCCCCCCGGTGTAGGCACCGCGAACAGTTCGTTCCCCCGGCGTCGCCGTGCTCTCTTCTCTGGCATGAGCGCGGGGCTACAAGGGCCAGCCGCGGCGCGTGCGATTGGAAGGCCGCTGGGGAGCTCAAGCGGGCGCGCGCTGGGCACAGCTTGAGCCAAAATGGCTACGGCGGCTGGTGGAGGAAAACTCGGGCATATCCAGATCGAGGCCTCGGTTGTCAGGGATCCTTGGCACGATAGTCCCGACTGGCCCCCGAACTCCAGTGACGAGTGCAGACCATGCTTTCGCTGGTCGAGGGTCTCGCGCGGTCTTTTTTCCATGACGAACTAAAGGACAGCATTGAATTTGTTGGCGAACAGATGCTTGTCTCAATAAGCCTGGCCTGTAACGACTTTTGTCGGTGAGCGTTTCGAAGTAATTTCCTAAGTTCTGGGAACATGGGGAGATTTCTGTACCGTCTGGAGTCGAGACCCCCTGCCAGCGAACAAAGGACTTGCACACATATTACCAATGTACGAGTACCCCCAGCGTGTGCGCACACACGGTTGCGCATACACATTGGGACCCCACATCGGACATCTCTTTGCACTCCAAACCAGGAAAACAGGAGCAGCTAGAAGAAGTGGATAGTTTTCGCGTGGTCGGCTTGGCTGCCCAAGTGCTGTGGCAACACTTCGCATGCATGTCGGGCGCCTCCTACACGAAACAGCACGCAACATATGGCATCCGTGGCACATACCACAATGCCACTCTACCGTGTATCTGCTCGGCATAGCCGTCGTCCTGGCAAACGTGCAGGCCGGAGGACTCGCATTCGTTCGCCACTCTTGTCATCCATGCCAACATTCTGTATCGTAAGGCTTCTTGCCCAGGTGGTCCTGGCTGGCCTGAACAGGCCACCCCCGAATAGACCTACGGCGGGTTCGTGTCGTGACGACCCCAGCGTTGGTTTCTGACGTCGCGTGGATCGTTCGACCTTGAACGGTCGGCGGCTTATCGATTGCCAGATCGTTCCATATTGGGCCGACTCTGAGCCACTGGCGGCGTTCAACTTTGAACGCCCGCGGCGGGGTCGCGGCGAGTCGACACGACGCGAACCTACCGTAGCTGGCAGGCCCCCCGAATAGCCCAGGCGATCTCAACATCCTGGCGCCGCCTCCAGCGGCGCCACTGGGGCGCTCCGCGCCCCGGGGGTTGAGGTGTGGAGACTGCCCTGGACTACTCGGGGGGCCCGTTGAGGCCAGCTGGACTGCTCGTGGGGGCCTGTTGAGGCCAGCCGGGGCTGCCTGGTGGGGCTGTCTGTGCGCAGCCCAAAAAGCAAGCTGCCTCCCGGGAAGCTTGTCGAAGTCCCACTTCGGCGGCCTCCTGTACCCAGACGTGATCTGGTCGCGGGTGTGCCATTCCTCCGAGGAGGGATACGGAGACAGATCGGCAGAAGACAAACATAGAAAGAGAGAGAGAGAGAGAGAGCGAGAGAGCGAGGGAGCGAGGCCAGTAGGGAGATCCGGAGGGAGGGAGAGCGAAGGACAATCATTTGGAGAAGAACACAAGCACTGCAAACATACAAAAGGCCCTTGCATCCATGCTGTTTTAAAGGAGATCGACGGACCTCGGCGACACCCCTGCAAGTAAATTAACTGAGCCGCTACGTGCCAAGGTCGGCATGGACACCTGCCCAGAGTGTCGCCAAACGGAAGGTTCAGGCAATTCCTCTCCTCTTCGTTCCTTATCCTTCCCTCCCTCCTCCTGTTCCTCCTCCCATCCGTCTTCCTCTTTGCCACCTTTTCCGACCCCAGAGCATAACAAGTTCACTTTGCACATGCAGACAGCTTAGGCGGTGGACCCCTGACTCGATACGTAGCACGGTGCCAGGCACACGACAGGGACCACGCATAGCACCAGACATCAAGCACAACGCACAACACCAGGCACTGGGCACGGCACGAGACACCAGGCATGGCAGCAGGAATGGAATGGCCCAAAGCACCAGTGAGCTGCACAAGACACCTCATTAGCGTCGCTGCGCATCAGATTGCTGCCCCCAGGTGGAAGCGCAACCGATGGGCGCGGTGGAACATCAGGGCTCAAGAACCTCGGCGAAAACTTCAAGCATAGCCCACGGATCGCTCCCACCCCTTTGGCCGCGGCAGCGAGCCGGGTAAATCGTTTTGGGCCACCGATGGCCGCCCTCGGGATCTTGAAAGGCCCGAAGGCGCAATCGTGGCGATGAAAATGCCGTGCTTCAATCGATAAACGCTGGCTTGCAACCTCCATGACAATACCAATGTTTATATTCTCGTCGCCAAGACTGGGCACATGTGCTCCATTGCGCAACACCTCAATCCCCTTGTTTGCGGCGGCACGGTGGCCTGAGAAGCGTTCACGTAACCAACACAATCCCAAAGACACTACTGCACCACACGACATCCTGTGACCAATGCATACGAAACAATCAGCATGGCACCACACGGCACCACCAGTGCAAAACAGTTCGACACGGCCGCACGGCACAACAAAACACCACGCACACAGCAAATCCGAGAGTCGGGAGCACGGCACTACGTGGCACACGTGCTACCATTCGACAATTACGCAACTGCTGGCATCGATGTGTATAAACATAGTGTACCCACCGCCGTGCCGCGTGCCGCAGGCACGGGGTGGAGTGTCACCAAGTCCATCGAGATACGTCTACTGAGTGGTGTGTAGGCTTCGAGAAGCCGCAGCATCGGCTCCGTATGAGCAGCCAGGGTTCACGCACGTACGCATATAGGACCACATTGGGTAATGTCAGTGTGGCAGCATTGTGTAACCCTGCGCACCGCGGAGGTGAGCGAAACTGTCACTTCTCGCTGAGTCAGTGAAGCAAGCTAGGGTCACCTCAATCCCCCTGGCTCCGGCTTGGAAGTCATCGCGAGACGTGTAACGTTGGCTGCTGCTACCAGCATGCATCTGAATAGGGACACGCGGCGGCGCCTCTCGAAAGATCCCCGCCCAGCCCCCGCCCTGGGACCTAGCACGGTGGCCACCATCAGACTGAAACAAGAAGACGTATCGGGCATTTGGTCTTGTTGAAACCGACTGAAATTATGGTATAGCCGAGCTGCGAAATTTTACTATACATACAACGGATCACGGTCACGCAGGGGTCCGCTGATGCCGGAAACTAGAATCCAATACAATTTACAAGGTTGAACCGATCAAACTGAGTAGTGTCCCCCCTCTCCCCCCGAGCCCCCCCCTGCAAAAAAATCGCTCGAGGATCAAACCGAGAACACGTCATTGACATGGTGTTGCGTGCGTCCATGATGAGTCCATGCAAAGCCTCCGTTCGTACCTTATGTGTGTACGCGTTCCTGTGCATTCGGTGTGGTTTCTCTCCTTTTCGCAATTGTTTCCCATCAGCTCGGCAATCGATCGCTCCTCCTCGCCACAATCGGAACTGAACGACCTCCAGGTCCAAGAGACAGTTGCACAGACAAGACGGTGATGCGCTTGGGGTGTCCGCCGCTCCTCGGTTGCTGCTGCAATGGCGAGTGATGGTCCTGACCTCTGATTATCCTTCCGTTCCAAGTGCCAAAATGCCCGATGTTGGCTGCTCTCCCATGCATCGGTCCGGAACATAGCCTGCTCTGTGAATGCCCAGCCCTCTGAGCCGACACCAGGAGGCACACCTGGACCGCAGCGGCTGTGCTCGCGCCTGCCTCCTCTGCTGGAAAGCACTGCGTAAGACTTTCGACTTGTTGCCAAGAGCAACGTCTGCTTTCAGAGCCATGCGGTGGAATGCCCTCGCCGACGGCGCTGTGCGATCATGTGCCGTCCATATGACCTTCACCTCGCGATCCCGAAAGAGATCACATGTCTGTTCGCCGCCTGGGACGTTGTCGATCTTGTCCGTGACGTCATCGATCGAAACTCCCGGCATGAAGACAACCAATCTTGAGCAGGGACCGACAGTCCTGGCATTCCTATAGGCCTGCCACGAAATGTCTTAGAACCCCAACATGTTCTAAATATAAAAGCAATCTTCTTACAACATAAACCCGACGTGTTAACACAAGATAGTCTCAGTCATACAGGTTCTCAGAACATTTCGTGTAGACCACAGAAGGTTATTCAAAACTTCTTTGGTGGGCCTCTAGGCAAGCCAGGACGCTTCGCCACTGCTTGACAGTCCTAGACCACCAACTGCGGTGACACCCATCTTGAATGACCACAAGTCAAGCCCTGACACCGAAAGAGTCGCTCCAACTCAGCCTGAAGTTGACGCTTCGTCTCTGGACTTGCTGATGCCCAGATGCTTGTCATCTCCCATGGATCCGTATTCAAGTCAAACAGTTCATACTCGTCTGCGCGACTCTCGCAATTCCAATTGTCCCACCCTGTGAACTCGACTAATTTCAGATTGTGCTTCCCGTCGATTACGCGCAAGGCTCTGAAAGTATTGTTCGCCGTATCTTGCAGGTGCTGGTAGCGCACCACGTCCCCGAGACCGTTGTACTCGATGAGCTGCATTTTGCGCCAACCTGAACTTCGAGCCAAAATCGAGCCCTCACGCTCCAACAATTGTCGTGTAGGTACTGGGGCAGCAGCAACGTCTGTAATCAAATGTCTGGCCAAAGATTTCCCATCCATTGTCGCAGGTGTATTGACGCCCGCCAGCCCAAGCACAGTTCGCATTACGTCCACGTTGGTCCCAAGCTGTTTGAAAAAGGAATTCGCAACAATACCAGGGCCCCGGATCACCATTGGGATGCGCAAATTGTTGTCGTAAACGTTCCATTTGCCCGCCAGCATGCGAAACTGACCGAACTGAAAGCCATGGTCAGATGTGAAGATGAAGTAAGTATTATTTGCGGCTCCAAGGACTTCGAACTCTGCGACAACATCCTCAACTATATCATCCACGGACAGGAGTGCGAGATGACGATGGCGGTACAAAGAATCTGACCTTTCAGCTTGCTCTTCAGTCATGGGAGGCTGCTGCCTGATGAGCCAGTGATGGTCTGGACAGGACGCATTCCAGCTCGGGGTCCGAGGTGCACGGAGACCTGGTAAAATGCTTGGGTCATCGTACCATGGAGCTGGGAGTGCCAAGGGCCAGCGTACCAAACCATCCTGCGTGTGCGGCGCCTTAACAGCAATGTAAGCAAAGAAAGGCTTGCGATAATCAGATGGCTGCGACAGCACTGCCTTCATCCACGCTAGGCTGACATTGCCAATGACAGATGTTTCGTAACAACTTCCTTCGTTGTACGAGCAGTTTGTGAAATTAACGGTGGTGTGAGAAGTCCCTGCAGATGCCCAAGTGAAGCTTGGTGAAAAATAAGTGCCGCCACCATTAGCGAACCAGCGATCAACACCTGGTGGAGGGCACTTCGGGTTATGCAGGTCGAAGTTGTTGAGCTGCTTCCCAAACATGCCAACAGTGTAGCCTGCTTGCTGCAAGTGCGGTGCGTAGTATCATTCAGCATAAAACGGATGGTGCAAGCTGCTGGTCACGTTCACATGCGTACATCCAGCGTCTGAAGCTTTTGCATTCCGAATGTTATGAAAGTACCGCCCAGTTACGAACTCAGCTCGACTGGGACAACACACTGGTGTGTGGATCATCCAATTTTCAGCGGTTGCACCCCTTTCGCTCAAGCGCCGTGTGGTCTTTTTCATGGGACTCCAGCCGCCCAACATTAGGTCCATGTCATCGGTCAGAAAAAGCACTATGTTTGGAGAGCCAGCTGCAGCCCTGCGCGAAGGAGGTGTTGCATCACAGAGCTCGGGCGCTGGTGCAGCCAAAGGGAACAACGCTAATGCCACCCACGACAACAAAGCAACGCTGATGCAACGGGTGGCAAAAAACAGGCGCATTGATCGCTGCCTGCGACCCGGAAATCCAGGTGGGCACGAGGTCAGCCAGCGTGGGTGAGCTCAAAAAATGTCTGCGGTTGGTCTCCGGGCGGCCTCGAGGCCGCCGCGGGCGGCGCCGAAGAGGTCCGGGACCTGCTCCCAAGACGGCCCCGCGCTGGCCTCGAGGAGCCCCCCACCGAAGACAACACACTGGGAAGAGGCCACGGATCTGGATTGTGCTGGGCGCCCCCCCCTAACCCTTTAACCCTCTGGCGCTGTGGTGGGAACACCTTCCCCCCTAACCCTCTGGCGCTATGGTGGGAACACCCTGGAGCGCTCTTGGGATGCCTGGGGCTCTTGGGGCCCTCGTGGAACACTCTGATGGCGACGTGGCGTTCTCCTGAGATCCTCTGTGAGCCCTCCCAGGGCGTTCTTGGGGTGTATCGGCCCTTGGGCCACACTTGGACCGTCATGAAGGCCATCTTCGAGCTCTCTTGAAACTCTCTGTGGGCTCTCTTCGGGCCACAGGAAGTCTCGGCGGCTCACACAAGACGGACGGCCATGCCTTTCCAGAATGAGACGCTCTAGCAATACATCACCCAAACCGTATAATTGTTGAATCCGCCATCGTGCCAGCGGCACACGTTGGGGCGTGGTAGCATGCGTTTCTATTGTCAAGTAAGTGTTCTTTAGTTGCCCTGGGACCGATCCCCCTGCCCCTCGACGCGTGCGGAGTCCCCCAAAACACTCTGGATTTGCTTTCCGGCGCTGGTTTCGGCCTCCAGGCGGCTCCAACACCGACAAAGGCCGCCCCATAACGGCTGCAAGACGCCCCAAGACCATCCAAAGATGACCCAAGGAGTCCCGAGACGGCCCAAGAGGCCTTCAACAAGAAGAATGCGTCTGTACTAGTGTTCCTGGCTTCCGCGGGACGGCCCCAAGAGTCGCCCCAAGATGGCCTAGGTCCCAAAGAAAGCCCCCAAGACGGCCCATGAGGGCTCCCAGACGGCCCAAGAGGGCCCCAAGGCGGCCCAAGAGACCTCCAAGACGGCCCAAGAGGCCCCTAATCAAAGTAATAAGGGATGGGGCCATGAGGAGAACTCGAAATGGTCTTCGGGCCTTTCCCTCCACGATGGCCCACAAAACCTCCAAACATGCCCCCAAGAGGCCCCCTGAGGCCACCGAGACACCCCCAAGAGGCCCAAAGCGGCGGAACCATCGCACCAAAGACGCCCCCGATACCCCCACGTACAGCCCCCAAGAAAGCCTCCCGAAGGCCTCACAAGGGACCCGCGCGCGCTTAGACAGGACGCTGAACGGGAACGGGCCATAAACTCGACGTCCTCCTCTTCCTCCTCCTCCTACTCCTCCTCGTCGTCGTCGTCCTCCTCCTCCTCATCATTATCCCCATCCTCCTCCTGCTCCTCCTCCTCCTCCTGCTCCTTCTCCTCTTCCTCCTCCGCCTCAACTGCCGCCACTCATCGATGCCATCCTTCTCCTCCTCATCTGCCTTGCTTCTCTCCACTGAAGAGGAGGCAGGCAATTTGCGGAAAAAAGGGAAGGAGTCGGGGTTTTCAAGACCCGCGGCAGCTCAGGCCTTCGGAAGCGAACGAAAAGAAGGAGGACCTATAAAGGAAGGCGAGCAGGAAGTCGTGGAGGAGAGTCTGCGGATGAGGGCGGGGTGCGCAAGACCCCCGCGATGTCAAACAGGGCACTGAACTGGAACGGGTCTGAAACTCAATCTCCTCCTCCTTCCCCTCCTCCACCTCCCCCTCCCCCTCCTCCTCCTCCTCCTCCTCCTCCTCCTCCTCCTCTTCCTTCTCCTCCTCCTCTTGGCAACCCTGCCGCCATCTTCTCCCTCTCCTCCTCGTCTGCTCGTTTCGTTCTCTCGCGGAGTGGGTGGGGCTAAGCAGTCTGGCCAGTCCGGACAGGAGGGAAGGGCATTTCCCCACGACTCCCCAACGGGCGGGCCCCCACAAGGTAATCAACGAGGCCCCAAGACAACCGCAAGAAGCACGCAAGAGACCCCACTGGAGCTTACAAGAAGCACCCGAGATGCCCTCACAGGGCAAATATCAGGGATGATGAGAAGGAGGGCCAAGGAGGAAGGAGAAAGAAAGAAGAGAGCGAGGCTGCGGACGGTGGCAGGGTAGTCTCCAAGACCCGAGCAACATCAAGCAGAACACTTAACTGGAACGGATCTTAAACTCAACCTCCGTCCCACTGCTCGGATGCGCTGGCACGGTGGCGGGGCTTGCCGCCCGCAGCTTGACGTGTTTCAGCCGCCCAGCTCCGTGCCACTAGATCGGGCGCATCCGAGGACACCCTTGGGCAGCCCTGGGCTCTCGAGGCTCTCGTCGGGGGCATCTTACGGCCTTCGGAATCTTCTCGGAGCGCCGGTGGGCCCTCTCCCGAAGCCTCTCGGGGCTTCCGCTGACGCCCCTGTAGCCCTTCAAGACAGCCCCAGCTCCACCCAAACAGCCCGCATGTCCTCCCGACAGCCCAGGCATTCCCGTGGAGCGTCGGGACAACGACTGGGGACCACGCGGTCAACGGACGGGACAGCTGGGCACTTGGCCCTCCGTCTCGCTCCCTCCCTCCCTCCCTCCATCCCTCCATCCCTCCACCTCCTCCTCCTCCTCTTCCTCCTCATCCTCCCCCTCCTCCTCCATTCTCCCTCTCCCTCGCTCCCCACCTCTTCCTACCTCGTACCTCGTGCCTCCTTCTCGATGCCCCCCTCCCCCCCCCCTGCGACCATAGGGACACTTTGCACCCTGACCCCGGCCCTCCCAGGTCCACGGCGGCCCCGGCCCTGGCCCCTTCGGTCCGCCGAGGCCCCGCGGCTTTCCGAGGCGCTCCTTGGCGTACACGGGGCTCTCGTGCATCTTGACCCCGGCCTGCAGCCGCAGCTCTTGCCTGCGCTCGGAGGGGGAGGGGCCGGCCAGGGAGTCCCATTCGGCTTTCCAGCCGACGAGGAGGAGGAGGAGGAGGCGGAGGAGGAGGAGGAGGAGGAGGAGGAGGAGGAGGAGGGAGGAGGAGGAGGAGGAGGAGGAGGAGGAGGAGGAGGAGGGAGGAGGAGGAGGAGGAGGGGAGGAGGAGAGGAGGAGAGGAGGAGGAGGAGGAGGAGGAGGAGGAGGAGGAGGAGGAGGAGGAGGAGGAGGAGGAGGAGGAGGAGGAGGAGTGCAGCCTGGTGTTACCATACAGAACATTGCATCCAGGAACGAAGTGGCGTTCCTGGCCACGGCGAGCCTCGTCTGCGGATATCTGCCTCGTCGTTACTATGAGGAAGGCGGGCCATGCACAATTGTTCTCGAGGAAAACCCGCGATGGTGAACATTCGGGCCAGAAAACGAAGGACACCACCCCACCTGCGGCCCACGGGGCTCGGCGCATACCAGGGAATCTGGCGTGGGCTTTTGCGCGGCATGCGCTGCGGCCACCGATGGGCCGTAGCGCAACATTAGAGGCCGCATAGATGTGGTCGGAGTACATGGGGTCGTCGGGTTCCGCCGCATCGCCAATGCATCGGCGATGCATCGGCGACGTCGGCGATGCATCGGCGACGTCGGTGTGGGAAAGCAAGGGCCTTACATCGAGCCGCATCGCCGACGCATCGACGACACGGCGCGATCCTCCGACCCCACCTACTCGGACCCCGTCTAGGAGGCCCAGAAACATGGAGGGCCGCGGGAGGAGGAGGAGGAGGAGGAGGAGGAGGAGGAGGCGGAGGAGGAGGAGGAGGAGGAGGAGGAGGAGGAGGAGGAGGAGGAGGAGGAGGAGGAGGAGGAGGGGTGGTGTCGCTCGTTGGTTTGGTGGCCGAACGCCGCCGCCCTCCCCGCGGCTGCGGGGGGCACTCCGCCGTGGCGCTGCACGGACCGTGCCGCGTGCGCCGTTCCTGGCCGAGGCCGAGGCCACCCCCGGGCCCACGATCGGCGCACACGCCCTCCTGGCTCGGCCAGCGAGGCACAGGCACCGAGCCCAGGCCCAGGGTGTGTGTGTGTGTGTGTGTGTGTGTGGGTGTGCGTGCTGTGCTGTGCTGTGCTGTGCTGTGCTGTGCTGTGCTGTGCTGTGCTGTGTGTGTGTGTGCGTGTGTGTGTTGAGTGTGTGTGTGTGAGAGAGTGAAGCATATACATTATATATTTATATATTCATTTTTATTTATGTATTTATTTATTTATTTATTTATTCATTTATATATATATATATATATAGAGTGTGCACGTGTATGTGTGCGTGTATGTATGTGTGAATATATTTATACACATATTGTGTGTGAATTCCTCCTCCTCCCCCCTGCCGTCGCCGGGCGCCTCCCCTCCTCCTCTCGCGCATCGCGGCTGAATGCGCACCTGTTCGTCCAGCATTTGCCCTCCCGCCAGCGCAGTCACCCTGCCCAGCCGCCGACGCAAAAGTGTGCGTGTGCGTGTGTGCCAGGCCAGGGTCGGCGCCTGTGCACCTGACGGGAGGCCGTGTCCCCCCCCACCCCGACGCGAGCTTGGCGAGCTCGCGGCCACACGTGGGGGAAGTGCCCGCGCCAGTCGACGAAACGCAAGCGCGACCCTGGGGGGCCGTCGTCGTCGTCGTCGTCGTCGTCGTCGTCGTCGTCGTCGTCGTCGTCGTCGTCGTCGTCGTCGTCGCCGTCGCCGTCGCCGTCGCCGTCGCCGTCGCCGTCGCCGTCGCCGTCGCCGTCGCCGTCGCCGTCGCCGTCGCCGTCGCCGCCGGCCTGCGCGTGCTGGCCACGCGGAGTCTTTGCTGGTGTGCGGTTCTTGGGGGCCGCGGGGGGACCAACCACGAGCGCGCAAGACGCTACTGCCGCCTCGCGTTCGGCGATTTGGGGGGGGGAGGAGGAATGAGAGGAGGAGGAGGAGGAGGAGGAGGAGTAGGAGGAGGAGGAGGAGGAGGAGGACGGAGGAGCGAGGAGGAGGAGGAGGAGGAGGAGGAGGAGGAGGAGGAGGAGGGAGGAAGGAGGAGGACGAGGAGGAGGAGGAAGAGGAGGATCGAGGCCCGCACCGCAGGGCCGCTCCAACGAAAGGTCGCTGCCTCGCGTGCCGTCGAGAAGCACGTCGGGAGACGCGGATCTCCGACACGGGTCAATGCAGATCCGGGTCAACCGGGCTTTGCAGGAGCCTGGGAGCTCCTGCAGGATCCTGCGCGCCGCTGAACTGGGTCAGGTGAACGTTTTCTTATTCGGCGTTTCGACGTTGGGCGAAAGGGGGGGGGGAGAGGGGGTGTCTGGCTCTGGACCTCTGCTGAATGCGGCTGTTTGCAACAATGCGTCCAATGGGGGGGGTCTCCACCTGCTCGAAACAGGCGCCAGAAACAGCCAAGATCTACTCCATAAGGGGGGGGAGGGGGGGTGCGAGGGCACGCGCCGATCGGCAAAAGGATGAATCAGAAAACGATCACCAATGCAACCCTGTCTTTGCAGGATCCTCCAAGATCCAGCGCCCTGGCTGACCCCCCTTTGCCTTGACCCTGCCTCAAGGCCCCATGGGGGTAGGTCGGGCATGACCTCCTACAGGCAGGTTTTCGATGAAACGCAGGGAATGACAACAAAAAACACTCGAAGATCATCAGGAATAGTCCAAACATCGTCCCCATACGATTCTTTGAATATTCTAGAATCTCCTTCCCGTAGCTCGGCCCCACCCGGCCCCAAGCCGGAATCAGCGTGAAGCTCCCTTCGCCCATAGAGAAGCGCGTTCCACTACCCTGAGATCGGGCGTGTCCCCCTAGAGGTGGATTCGGGAGGAAAAATAACAAGTATCGAAACATGCTCAGAAACAGCAAACAAATCCTCAAAACATCGTCCCCTGATTTTGAATATCTTAATATCTAAGATAAGAAACGATTTTTGCATACATATTCCCCCAGTAGAAGGTTAGTAAACCAAGCCGGAGTCAGCGCGAAGCTCTCTTCGCCCATGGACAAGCGCGTTCCACTACCCGCAAAATAGCTACTCGCAAGAGGCCCAGACCCGCCGCGTCGGATCTGCGATCTGCACCTGCGCGTTCCGCTACTCGCAAGGCGGCTGCTCGCAGGTGGCCTGGATCCGCCGCGTCGGGCTCGCGATCCGTCGCATCGAGGCGAGCGCGCGTTTTCATTCGGACGCCTGCGAGCAGGCACTTTGCGAGCAGTGGGGCGCGCTCGGCGAGCCCAGAAACCCCACCCCACCCCCGCCCTGGGGGACACCCGCCCACACCAGGAGGAGGTGGAGGAGGAGGAGGAAGAGGAGGAGGAGGAGGAGAGGATGAGGAGGATGAGGGGGAGGAGGAGGGGGAGGAGGAGAGGAGGAGGAGGAGGAGAAGGGAGGAGGGGAGGAGGGGGAGGGGGAGGGGGAGGAGGACCCACGGTGCCGGAGCGCCGCGGGGGCGGTCGCCCGCTGCGAGTCGCCGGCCCCCCCCCGCCCCCTCGCCGCGCCCAGTCGCCCACTGATCGCCCATCGACCGCCAGTCGCCCTCCTCCCTCCCCCTCCCCTCCTCCTCCTCCCTCCTCCCTCCTCCTCCTCCTCCTCCTCCTCCTCCTCTCCTCCTCCCCCTCCTCCTCCTCCTCCTCCTCCTCCTCCTCCTCCTCCTCCTCCTCCTCCTCCTCCTCCTCCTCCTCCTCTTCCCCCCCCAACCGCTATTTCCTGCTGTTTCAGGCGCCATGACGGGGTCGGTGCCCCGAAGCGCTGCGCGGCCGCCGTCGGCGGCCGACGGCCGACGGCCTCCGCTCTTTCCAGCTGCTGGCCGCTGGGCGCCTCTTCTTTTCCTTCAGCTGGCCGCTGAGCGCCTTGGCTTTCCAGCTGCTGGCCCCTGGGCACCCCTTTGTCTTTTGCATGGGGCGCCTTCCTCTTGGTGGGCCACTGCCTCCGACTGGAGGCGAGGCTGCCTGCTTGTCGCGCAGGCTGCTGGCAGCAACCCTTCGGCGCATCGCGCTGCTGCTGCCAGTGAGGAGCTACGCCGCTCCGTGAGGCCCGCAATGGCTCGTGCGGATGTGGCGTCTGTCCACCTTTCTCGCGCGCCTGGAGGCTTCGCGTTCGCCGGGCTGGGCCGCCTTTCGTCTTTCGGATCACTTGCATGATCTCCTGCGTGCTATCCTTTCTCTGAGTTGTGAGGGTGCTAGTGCAGATGTGGCGTCTCGCCACCTTTCTCCCGCTCGGTCTTTCAGGTTCTTCACTGCGGTCATTGTCTGGTTGGTTGGTTGAGGATGGGTCAGTTCTTCCAGCGCTCTGCTTCTTGTCTGGAGGCAACGCTGTCCTGCTTGTCACGCAGGAGACTGGCAGCATCCCTTCGGCGCCTGGGCGCTGTTGCTGCCAGCCTGGGGGCTTGGCCGCTCCTTGAGGCCTGGCTGTTGGCTCGTGCGGGCGTGGCGTCTCGCCACCTTTCCCGCGCGCCTTGTCAGGCCTCGCGTCCTTTGGCCTGAATTTCTTTGTTCTTCCACATGTTCCTCTGCATGTTCTCCTGCATGGGTTCATTGAGAAGGCCAAACGGATGTGGTCTCCCACCTTTCGCGTCTGGCCTCCTGGCCGTCTGTAGGCTGCTCGTGCGGATGTGGCGCCCCGCCACCTTTCTCGCGCGGAGCCTTCCAAAGGTCTTCACTGCTGTCATGCTCGGGGAGAGTGTGCAATCGGTAGGGTGGGTCGTGGTCGGTTTTTGGCCGGGTTGGGCGTGGGGCTGTAGGTTGCACATCGTGGTCTCCATGCGCCGACTTCAAGCGGGATTCGCCACGCTCCCACCTCGTCCCGCTACGGCTGGGGGCCACAGTGCCCTCGGTGGGGGCGAACCCCAGGCCTTGTGCTTGGTGTTGCTCGCGCTGGGCTGAGTCGCATCTGCCCTGTGCTCCGCCTGGTCGGCGTTCGGGTGGGCTCCTCCTCCAAAGTGGGAATGGTGGGGGTGGCGAGCCAGGGCGGGCCGCGGGGGCGCAGGTGGTGGCCGTTCCCCCCCCCCCCTGCCCCTCACCATCCCACCTGGCGGGCGCGGGCAGTATCCGTCCTGCCTCCCACCCTTCGAGCCCGTCTCGAAGTTTGATCCTTGCCTCTCCAGGGCATCCGCGGCGAGGTCTGTTGGCTGGTTCTGTGGTTGGGTGGTGGGCATTGGTGGAAGTCGTACTGGTGTGAAATACGTGCGCTTACGTGGCGACTTGTGCCTGAGGTGTTCCCGCGCATTTGGGGCTTCCTCAGGACTTCGCGTCCTAACGCCTGCAGCTTAACGTGGCGACGTTGTCTGGTGTTCCCATGCTTTTTGGGCTTCCCCAGGACTCCGCGTACTAACACCGCGGTGTGTACGAGCCACGTCCTGGTGTTGTAGGGCTTTGGCTTGTCGTGGCCGTGCGTCTTGGCTGGTGTGGGCGTGGGATGCTGGTGGAGGGTATGGAGTGGTGAGTGGGTATCGAGGTGGTATGCTGTGTGTCGGCCTGCTGTCAAGGTCGGTAAGCAGGTGTCCAGGGATGTCTGCTGGACTGCCTGATGTACCTTGGCTGCCAGCTGCGATTATATTGCTTTGGTCGAATGCTGATTTGTGGAGTGTTCGTGTTCGTTGCTGTTGCGAGGGTTGGTCGAGTTACGTAGCGCGTGTTGGTCGGTGGCTTGAATGTGGTGGTGGGTCGGTTGGGTTGTTGTTGTGTTGGCGGTTGGTCGGTTGTTGTTGCTATTGTCTTGTGTGGGGCGTCGAAAGAGAGAACCTGCTGCGAGTGCAGGGTTTTCGCTCCAGCCCTTGCGGCCTGACTGAAAAGGGGCTCGTGTGTATAGTGCAAGGAGCATGCCGTCAAGATCGTAGCAAGGCGGTCAGAGATGGGGTGGGGGAGCTGAGGGAGGTGGCTACTGGTTGAGTCGGGTCGGTGGTGGCTGTGGTGGCGGCGGTGGGTGCCAGGCGTCAGCCTTGGTCCATTCTCGAACCTCGTGTAGGTCAAGGTTCTGGATGGTTCGTCTAGGGTAGGTGCTGTGATGGTCGCTGCACTTCTCGCGTGTCAAATATGGGTCGGGGGGCTGATCAAAGTGTAGCCAGTCGGGCTCGATGTGCCAGTGTCGGTCAGATGAATTTGCGGCGAACCTCTGCGCCACTTGGGTGGCTCAGGCGTCCGATATCGCTTGACACGTCATGGTCGGGTATTCCTTGGCGGCGCTTGTGTTCCAGCTTCCCTGCTCGTCCACGCCTGCGAGCTCCTGGTGGTGGCGCGTGGTGTGGGGGCATCTCCCGCCAGCGCCTGGGAGGCTTCGGAAGCGTTCGCGCAGCGCGGGGAACGCCACCGCTAGGAGAGTGGTCGTCTTCTTAGAGGGTGCTCCGCAGGTGCGCTGGTCGAACGTGATGGTGTCGACATTGGGTTGAGCTGCTAGGTGGGCGGTCTCTGGCAACCGCCTACTGCTGGGCATGCGCTGCTCTCGCGGTTCGGCAGGATGCTCTAGAAACCCAAATATGTCGTGCACTGCGCCGGCATAGAGGCACTCGAGCTGTGTGCGATATAGATGGTTGCCCAGTCCAACTTGCTCTGCTTCTGCCCTTCGAGGATGCCGAAGGCCCCGGAGTTGAGTTCCCGAACGGAGTGGCCGCGGCGGCCTCGCTCTGCACTGATCGGGCGGTAGGTGGCGTGCACGCGACCCCGCGTTTTGCACGGCGGCCCTCCCAGCACCGTCGCGACCCGTCCTTCTCTGACTCCACTTAGCCACTGAGGTCTCGTTGGTTAAGTCGCCGAAGGTCGCGTTGTTGGCAACGTCCAGCGACAGTGCGTATACCGAGTGGCTGCTGGCTACCAATAGTCGTTCGTGCCAAATGTTGAATGTCCGATAGCCGCCGTCGCCCACTGAACAGGTGTGTAATGTGCATTGTGGATGCCTGCGGTGGGCGTGGGGCCTGAGGGATAGGTGTTGGTGGGTCACTGTAGCGCGGGATGTCCATGCTGGCGTTGTCGCCCGAGGGGTCGCTGTCGTCGACGAGCTCTGATGATTGGACTTGTTGGAAGTGTCGCTCGGCCCAGTCGCTGGGCCGTCCCGTTTGTCGGCTCTGCTGTTGCTGCTGTCGGATCGCATGCTGATAGATCTCGTGCTGATCTGGCAATGGCGTCGGCAGCCGTCTCCGCATGTGGGCGGCGCTGCGCTTGATCTTCAGAAGGTGCTTGACGATGCGGTTGGTGGTGTGGAAGTCGCGCCCGCAGACCAGGCATAGAGTGCCCTGTTCCCATGTGGCTGGATGGTTGGCGTTGGTATGGTGCCGAGTGATGCGTGCTCGAAGTCACTGCTTGGTGGGTTCGGTGTGCCCACGCTCGTAGCATTCGTAGGTCGTGGTGTGCTTTGGTTCTTGCCCGCTGAATGCTGGGATGGCGTTGGAGCGGGTCCAGGCGGCAAGCCGCTTCCGTCATCGTTGTAGGTGGTCGTCGTCATATGCTGCAAGTCGTGCTCTTTGTAGCACCTTCTTGACGTGGTTGACGAACTTCGCTCGGTCGGTGCGGGCCCAGTCCTTCCAGTCGTCGATGGAGTGCTGGCTAGCTGGTTCGTCGAGGTCAGTGTGTTCACGGAGCCATGAGACGTCGTGTCGTATTGCCTCCGCCCAGCCGTCCTGGGCGTCCAACGCCTCCGCTAGCAACCTCGGAGGGTAGATGGGCCCGTGGGCGACTACTCTTGCGAAGAGGCGGAGCCGCTCCAGGACCAGTTAGGCCTCGCTGGTGGGCCGCTCGACCCCCTCTAAGGTCAGGCAATTGCTCGACAGCTTGTCGCTCTTCTGCTTCCATGTTGTGCCCTGGGCGGCAGCGTAGTTGGCGACGTACTGGGCCTCGAACTTGTGGGCGTCGGAGGGTCCGAGCGGCGGCCCGGTGCCCGAGTTGTAGGCCAACTGGGGGAGCATGACGGAGTCCGCGAGGGCAGTCTTGTCGCGGGCCGTGAGTTGCCTGCGCTTGTGCGCATCGCTGCGTAGTGGGATGGTCGTTGCTGCTGCCTTGGTGACCTTGTGGACGGCGTCGGCTCCTGGTGAGCCGTCATCGGTGACCATCGTGCCGAGGAGGCGGTGGTGCCTGACGATCTCGACGACGCTGGCGGCCACGGGAACCTCGATGTGCATGGACTCCCGCTGGTAGAAATCCTCCTTGTGGGCCGTGTGGCCAGGTCCGTGGAAGCTGATCAGCACCTTGGTCTTGGCCAGTTTGAGCTTTATGCCGAATGTGGCGGCGGCCAGGTAGACGCTCTCGCAGATGACGGCGGTCTCTCTTTCGGCCTGGCTGTGGTGGGAGGAGAAGACGTGGTGGATGGCGAGGTCATCGACAAACGAGAGGACGTGGGGCTCCTCCTGCAGCTCGTGGTGGTGGTCGTCGTCGCCGTGGCATTTGAAAGCTTCGTCCATAGGGTTCGCCGCGACGGTGATGCCTTTCTCTCGTAGGAGGGAGGTCAGTATCCTGTGGGCCCTAGAGAAACATAGGTTGAAACCCGCATCTGCTAGAGGCACGCCAGGCCTTGTGCCTTTCCTGGGCATCATCACCGCTGCACTGTGCCGATGCGATGTCCATCTATTTCGGTGTCCCTCAGTAGCGAGGGCAGACAGGTGGGAGAAATCCGTCATGCTGTCAAAGGGGCCCAGGAGCAAAGAGGAGCCGCAGCACCTGCGGCACGATCCACGCGGGCACCTCGACGCTGTGGAGAACGTCCTCCAGTTCGTGCTCTTCCCCAAGTATCTGGTGGATGAGCTGCAGCAGTGCGCTGTAGAATGCTTCCTGGAGGTCGTACATGCCCACGACGTAGGAGCGCCCATGCCTCTTGGCCCTCTCCATGAAAAGCCTTGTCGCGAGGACCGTCATGTCTGCCCCTCGCTTTGGTCGGTCGCCTGCCTGGATGTCTTCCAGGACTTGGGCAAGGCAGCCGTTGAGCACCGTCCACAAGAATTGGTGATGCTTGCCCAGCACACTGTTCATCATAATCTCTCTGCGGGCTTGCAGCGTGCGCTCGTCGCCCTTGCCCTTAGGGGTGGCAACCATGTCTCCTCCCTTGAAGGCGGGCGGTTCGCGGACTGTGACGGCGGCTTTCACGAAGAGCGGGCGCAGCATATCTGCGCACTGGCGGGGCGCTGTGCGCAGCAGGGCATTGGTGATGCTGTCTGGCCCACCCTTGGGGCTTGGCGCCGCCGAGCGCATCTGGTAGTAGCACGCGCCGTAGGGCATCGCCGCCTCGACTTGCAGCTCGCCCTGGAAGAACTTGTTGTCGCTGTCCTGGTTGCACTTGTCGGCTAGCTGCTGGGCCGTGCTTCTCCTCCTCCTCCCTCCTCCTCTTTCCTCCTCCTCCTCCCCCTCCCCCTCCTCCTCCTTCTCCTCCTCCTCCTCCTCCTCCTCCTCCTCTTCCTCCCTCCTCCCTCCTTATCGTCCTCCTCCTCCTCCTCCTCCTCCTCCTCCTCCTCCTCCTCCTCCTCCGCCTCCTCCTCCTCCTCCTCCCTCCTCCTCCTCCTCCTCCTCCTCCTCCCTCCTCCTCCTCCTCCTCCCCCTCCTCCTCCTCCTCCTCCTCCTCCTCCTCCTCCTCCTCCCTCCGTCCCTGCTCCCTCCCTCCCTCCCTCCCTCCCTCCCTCCCTCTCCTCCTCCTCCTCCTCCTCCTCCTCCTCCTCTGATCGATGTCCCATCGGCCACGCCCCTCGCAGGCTGCTCCGCGGAACGCCACATGCCCAGACCTCCGACGAGATGGGCCGACGAGGCTCCTCGACTTCGGCCTCTGGGGCCCGCCGTCTGGCCCCTGGGGCCATGACGGGTGGATCCGCACGGTGCTCCTCGATTTCGGCCTCTGGGGCCCGTTGTCTGGCCCCCAAAGGCCGTGACACATGGATCCAGGACGAAGAGCTGCCCGCGGGGAAGGGGTCGGGACCCCTGGAGCCGAGGATTGAAAAACGAGATGGTCGGATGTCTGGGTTACTCCCCCTGGCCCTCCTCCGCCTACCTCTCACGCGCAGGAGGAGGACAGCGAGACAGAGTATCGACGGGTATGAGGACGAGGTCGACGGTTGACCTCAGGATGCTCGAGATGCTGGATGGCAGCCCAGTCGAAGCAACAGCTGGATGGCAAGTGCAAGAGCTGTCCTTGGGCTGTCCAGCGCCATGAGGCCGCGTTGTCCTCACCGCCGAAGAGCTGTTATCGGCATAGGCGCGAAGCGCGAGTGCAACGCAAGGGCAACCGGGTCCCCAGACATCCAACGACTTGATGTTTTCAGTGCGAGGCCCCAAGAGGTCCCGACCCCTGGCGTGGGGGGCAGCTTCTCGCCCTGGATCCATGCTTCATGGCCCTGGGGCCCGACGCAGGGAACCAGAGGCCGAACTCGAGGAACAGACTCCGGGATTGGCGGAAAGCCACCTCGTCGGAGCTCTGCATCTCCACGAGGCGAGGCGGGAGGAGACACGGAGGCAGCACGCCTGCACGCAGGTGCGCTGCACCTGCGCAGGCCTCGCAGCCGCCCCTGTTCGGCCCTGCCGCTCGCGGTGCCGAGGCCGCGCACGTCCGGTCGCTCGGCCACCGGGACCCGCGGTCGCGCAGGGCTGCCGAGGCGGAGTGGCGCGCCAGGGTGTCCTGGCCGCCGCCTGGAGCTCTCGGGCCCCCGTGCTCTCGGGCCAAGGGGGGGGGGAGCGGGCGGGGGGAGAGGGCACGACCACAGAAAGCAAGAGAGAGGAGAGAGAAAGAGAGAGAGAGGGAGAGAGGGAGAGAGAGAGAGAGGGAGGGAGAGGGAGAGAGAGAGAGGGAGGGAGAGGAAGGAAGAGAGATAGAGAGAGAGAGAGAGTCAGCGCTCCTCCTCCTCCTCCTCCTCTTCCTCCTCCTCTTCTCCTCCTCTTCCTCTTCCCCCCCTTTCTCTCGTAATGCCGAACTGACGACAGAACGGGTCCGTCTCACCCCCTGCTGCTGCCTGCTGGCCCGCCTATCCTCTCCTTCACGAGAGGGGGAGAGAGAGAGAGAGAGATAGATAGAAGGAGAGAGAGGGAGGAGCCGCCATGAGCCATCCTCCATCAGCGAGTGCGTCTCCAACTCCCCTGGTTCTCTTGTTCATCCATGCTTTCTCATCCCTTATCTCGTCACTCACCCGTTTGGCTCTGCTGAGCCCATAACCCACGTCTAGACTAAGCCACGCCGCCCACGATGTAAACTGAAAGTGGAGAGCGAGCAGACATCGGCAACATCGCATGGGACAGTCCTGCCACATCGGTCCGGACCGCGCCAAAGGAGGTGAGCGTTGAGCTGGACCTCGGCCAACCCACCGCTCGCATCGCCACGCTCATGACGATCCGCCAACCCCCGCTTGCCAGGGGTGAAAAGGCGTGTGAGACATTTGGCTGTTCCCCCTCCCTCTTTCCCCCTCCCCTGGGGTCCAAAATGCCGTGTGGGGGGGTCGGAGGGGGGGGGGACGAGCTCCCAAACGCATCCCTGGGGCATCCGGAGTCTCCAGAACCCCAAGACGGCGCATGGGGTCCAAATCAGAACGCCAAAACAGCGCCAAAATCGTCCAAGAAAGCGTCAGGATCGCCAAGGTAGCACCACGACGAATCTAAATGGCTTCGAGACGGCCCACGAGGCGCCCAAGACGGCCCAAGAGTGCTCCCAGAGGACCGCCGAGAGGGCCCCTAGAAGCGAAAATCGTCCCATTCCCCAAAGAAACTGCACATGTTTAGCGTACTCGCCTTCTCCGTCCTGACACCGTCAAAGACGGCCAAAAGGATTCCCAAGAACGTCCCAAGACGGCCAATGAGGCCCCCAAGAGAGCCCCATGACGTCCTACGGAGGCCCCAAGACGGCTACAGGGGCCCCCCAGGCGGCCCAAGAGAGCCCCAAGAGGGCCCTCAGAGGGGCCCCAGAAGAGGGATACGAACTTACATTTCGAGCCTTTCTACCCAAGATGGCACCAAGAGCCATCCCGACGCCCCCGAAGCGCCCACAAGAGGCCCCAAGAGGCCCCCAAGGGGTCTCCAAGAATACCCCAGGAGGTCCCCCCAAAGGCCCCCAAAGTCCCCCAGATGCCGCCAAGAGACCCCCAAGAGGCCACTGAGAGGCATCCAACGAGTCAGTCAAATGCATCCAAGAAGCTCCTGACTCACCAGATACCTTCTAAGATCGTCGCAAGCACTCGCTCCTTCTGTGGTGTCAGCGGAATGGCGTAATCCACTTGAATATGCTGGCGCGCACCGAATTAGTCTTAGTCGAGAAGTCCACGTGAAGATGTCCGTCCAAACGGACAGGGACAGGAAAGAGCTCACCCCGCATGGCGTGACGTGTGACACGGACCAGAACAGATCATCCCACAACGGAGGCAGAGGCAAAGTGAGGATGAACAGTTGTTCCACAGTCGCTTCCTCGGTCGCTCCCCCCCTAAGCCAGCGAGCAACGACGTGGCTCGTGTGTCAAACGCAGCATCACGCCAAGCATAGTTATGCGCGCGCTGTCCCGCGCTTGGGGGAAGCATGCCGCACGACGCCATTACGCCCCTACCCCCCCCTGGCGAGCCATGTTTGGAGGAGGGGAAGGCGGCCGAGGCGAGTGGAACACATGACAAGAACCTGACCGTCGCCCCCCCCCCCCAACCCCCATAAGTGTTCAGACATAGGTAGAGAAGTCGCACTACCAACTACAATGGTGGCCAGAATGATCGCACGCGACGGGTGACAGATAGGGATGGAACGAGAAGCGCGGCTCCCCAAACCGACTGGCGCATAGGCAGCTGGGAGAAGCGCGAATGAGGGACGGAAGTGCGGTGAGTCATAACCCTGTGCAGCAACCTCGCCATCTAGGGGCCCATACTCACGGCGACCTATTGAGCAACACGGCGGGGGTAGTCCCACTTCCGTCAAGCTTTCGGCGCTTCTTACCACCCCTCAGGCACCTCTTGGAGATCGATGCGGGATCTTCCCGTAGTGAAAACAATTCCCTGCAGGAAGTCATGGCAAGGGTACTTGGGACGAGAGGGTGCATGGTAACATCGCTGATGTGCCCTGGGGTTCCCCTGGCCCTCCTGCTCCTCCTCCTTCTTCTCCTCCTCCTCCTCTTCCTCCTCCTCCTCCTGGTCTTCCTCCTTCTCCTCCTCCTCCTCCTCTTTCTCCTCCTCCTTCTCCTCCTCCTCCTCCTCCTCCTCCTCCTCCTCCTCCTCCTCCTCCTCCTCCCCCTCCTCCTTCTCATCACGTTGCCATCCTTGGGGCACCCGAGCCACCCGGAGCATGGTCACGCATCCCCTGGATAGGGGGGCCAGCGGAATGGCATCAGCCTCCAGAATCCGCCTGCCCACTGGGCTCAGGGGCGGGTGGCACCTGACCTCGAAAGTACCTTTCAAGGCGTCTTTTAAATGGGTCCAGTCTTTGCCGCGAGTCGCGCGTGATGACTGTTTGCCACCCTTGCTGCGGGATGCAATTCAGAAAGCCTCGGTCTTGGACCCGTTTGCTCTGCATAGATGGCGCGCTGAAGCTTTCGAGTTCTGGCAGGAGCGACAACCGTAATCTGGCCGGCCCCTGGGAACAACTTCGCGGGGGTTTACCGCTGCATGTGCAGAAATTGGCAAGGCCGGAGAATAATTTGTTGCTCTTTGATGAAAATGTTCGAAAGCATTGCCTGGCCAGATAGAGAGCTTGTACATAACTGAGTTTTGGGCTTCCCGATCGTGGGTCGGTTGAACCCCTGCGGAATTGTGCCTTTGGGCCAGAAGGCTGCCGAACAAGTGCCTCTAGGCGATCTGTGCGCGGCTGCGCGCGACATTAACGCCAGCACTTTGCAAAGAGTGCGTGGTGGCGCGCCGCTGTCCGCACCTGTGGCGGAAGCATTTGAGCGAAAATGTGTAGACGAAGTCGCTTATAAGAGGCTTTCTGGATAAAGCTCTCCTCAGTAGATGCTTTGCTGGCTGCCCGCTTCCCCGTCGACGAAGGTTGGCGTGAGGGCGGTGGCCAGCAGAGCAGGAAATTCGTCTGATCGACGATTTTAGAGGCAACGGTCGAAATGTGCCATGACACCCTGGACACACTCGTCGCGGTGGCCCGGGCGTGCTCTAACACCGCGGAGGAAGTCTCTCCTCCACTCTTCCGCAAGGATGATTTCAAGAGCGCTTTCAAGACGCTGCCCGCGCAAGAGAGCCATCTTCGGCTCCCCGTTGTCACTTGGAAGAGCGCCGCGCAGCATGACAAAGGGTTGCAATTGCTGTCTTGTCCCTTTGGCGCGGCAGTCTCTGTCTTTGCATGGCATCGTTTGGGAATGCAGTGCAAGCAATATGAGCTACTATATTTTTGCTTGCTTACCCGCGCTGCGTCGACGATCTTTTCGGCTCAGATTCGCGCATGGACAGTGCAGATAGCGGATCTCTGGTGGGTCCGCGAGGGTCAGCGGCACTGACGCGCACGGTGACTGTCGATTTGCTTGGGTGGCTGCTGGACGAACCCAAGGCTTTTGCAGAAGCATCAGAGATGACTATCTTAGGCGTAGAGGCGAAAACTTGCCTGGAAGGCATCTGGCTTTGGATTGGCCACGAGAAGAAGACCAAACGGCTCGAGCAAATTCGCGGCGCTTTGCGCGCTGGCTTTTTGACGCCAGCGAAGGCTGCCAAGCTGGCTGGTCGCCTCAGCTGGGGGGCCGCAGCGGTTTTTGGAAGGGGGACGCGAGTCTTCCTCGCACCGCTGTCCTGGCACAGCAAGCAGCGCAAAGCTGCACTTACAGCGCGCGTACGCAATGCTTTGCGATGGTGGGAGCGGTTTAAAGTTCTGACCCTTCTACTTGCGCGCGTTTCAGCCAACCCGCGCTCCGAAGGTGCATGCTGTACACCGACGCCACTGGCGGCGGGAAGTTGGCGTTTGTGCTCCAGACTCCCTCGATGCGTGTCTGGGCAGCAGCGCGGGTTCCCCAGTTAGCTTGGTCTTGGGCTCGGCCGAGACGCGCGCAGGTGACTCTCTGGGAATTAATTGCGGCGCTCTGCGGCGTCCGATTTTCCCTCGAGCTTAGCGTCGAGTCTCCAGAGCTCATGGTTTTTATTGATGGCGCGGCTGCTTTGAGCACGCTGTTGCGAGGCAGTTCCAGGCAGAGCGCTCTTAACTATGTTTTGGGGACGCTCTGGTTCGATTTGGCCGCAGCCAGCGTGCTAATGCACGC